CCCCCCCCCGGACCACGGGGCCTCCATGGCATGTCCGCCATTGTAGATTACCGACTTCGGCTTCGCCAAGAAGCTCGACGGGCGCACCTGGACCGTGTGCGGCACCCCGGAGTACCTGGCCCCGGAGATCATTCTCAGCAAGGGGTACGCACTGTGGCCTGTGCCCTCCTCCCCCCGTCCATCCCCCTCCCTGATGATCGGAAACATGCGCCGGGCACACGAGCCCAAAGGATGCCCCCCCACGCTCTGACCCCTCCCCTCCCCCGCCCCCTGCCCTCGCCCGCGCCGGCTCAGCTACGGCAAGGCCGTCGATTGGTGGGCCCTTGGCGTGCTGATTTACGAGATGCTGGTCGGCTATCCGCCCTTCTATGATGACGATCCGTTCGAGATCTACGAGAAGATTGTGGCCGCGCGCGTGCGCTTCCCCTCGGTCGTGTCGCAAAATGCCCGGGACCTGATTCACCGGCTCCTGCAGCCGGACTTGTCCAAACGCTTCGGCAACCTGAAGAACGGAGCCATGGACATCAAGAACCACCGCTGGTTCATGGGCGTCGACTGGCAAGCTGTCGAGAAGGTGCGCCGCCCGCCCGCCCGCCCGCCCGCCCGCCCGCCTGCCTGCCTGCCTGCCTGCCTCCTCCTCCCCTCGGCCCCAGGGGCATGCGTGTTCGCCTTCGGCTCGGTCCCGCTCCCTCGGCCCGTCTCCCCATGCTGACCCTGTTTCTCCCCCTCCGGCCGCGTGCCACCCGCGCTCTCCCTCCCTTGCTCCCCCCCCCCTCTCTCTTTCTCCATTCCTTCTGGCTCTCCGACATCCAGCTCGAGGTTCCGCCTCCCTTCAAGCCCGTCCTCCGGGGCGAGGGCGATACTTCGAACTTCCAACAGTACGACGAGGACGAGCATCTCCTGCCCAGCGCCGATCATCACGATGAGTTCGCCGACAGTTTCCTGGACTGGTGATGCTGCGCGCGCTTGCTCTCCACCTGCCCCTCCTCTGCCACGACTCCCCCTAGCCCCCCCCCCCCACTCTCTCTCTCTCTCTCTTTCCTTCTCTTCGTTTCTTTCTCTCTCTCTCTCTCTCTCTCTGTGTCTGCCGCCTCTTCCCCCTCCGGTGGTCCGTCGCCCCCTTCCCCCCTTCACACAACCCCGAGCCCCGCGTCACCCGCGACATGCCCTCCCCCTCGGGCAGTCCCACACACCCGGTGGGTCTGCCTTCCCCTCTCCTTCCCTTTCGGGTTTGCGTCCCCCTCCCCCCCCCCCTTTCTTCTTGTCCTTGGTTCTCAAAATGTACTCGGATGCACCCTCTGCCTTTCACACACCTGTATACACACAGCTTTCTCTCTCTCTCTCTCTCTCTCTCTTTGTCTACCTGGTCGGATGTGTCATTTCCTCAGCACGCATATGTGCAGGCCAGCACCCTCCGCCGGCGCCGAAGAGCCGCCCTCCGCTGGTTGGGGGTGGCCGAGCCTGCCTGGGTGCAGCCTTTGCCGGCCTGCCCCCCCCCCCCGGAGGGCCTGTGAGCCAGGGCCCCCGGGCGGCCGGCACCTGTGACTGGCCCCGGCGTCCCTGCCGCAGGTCCGCCATGGTCCGGCCGCCCGGGCGGGGCGGGGGAGCCTTGGCGTGTGTGCCCCCCCCCCCCCCCCCCCCCCCCCCCGTGGAATGGGGCCCCGTTGCGAGAGGGGCCCAGGTGATGGCCAAGAAACAAAGCTAGGCTGCTACTTAATGTCTATATTGGTGCGCCAGTAGGGGATCCAGAGGGAGAGAGGAGCAGCGCAGGGGGGAGTCCCCCGCAGCGCCAAGGCTGCCAGGCGTGGCTCTGCCCAAATCCCCCTCGTCAGTGCCATGTGGACAGCATCCTGGCCAGGGCTCGCCAGGAGCATGTGCCCCAGCGAGGGCCGGAGAGGGGGGGAAAGGGCGGGAAAGGAAAGATGAAAGGCCCCGGCAGCAGGGAACGAGAGGGATCAAGACCAAAGCCATGTGCAGCGCACGCGCGCGCGCGCGCGCGCGCGTGCCCAAAGAAGCTCAGGTAAAAGGCAGCGGCGCCCGGGAGGGGACGGGTGGCTGTTCTTTTGTCCCCCCCCCCCCCCCCTACCCCCCCATATCACGGCCCAGCTTGAAGGCCGGCCATGCGCGTGTGTGCGGGAGCAGCGGGGAGGGAGGGGCAGAGACACCGGCGGCGATAGGCGCATGCGCACGCGCGTTCATCGTCCCGACACGGCAAAGAGAGACCAGTTCGGGTGGATGACCTCCATCGGGTTGTAGGGATTGGCATCGCACAGGAGCGCGCGGAAGCTGTTCAGCTGCGGCTGGACAAGCCACTCGATGGCCGGGACCGACCGGTCCAGGGAGTCGATCACACTCGGCGCCCCGTCGTCCATGTGGTGCGAGTGCAGTTGGTCCCCCTCGGCCGGCAGGCTGTCCAGCGACTGCTGGGCCAGGTAATCCTCGAAGCCATCGGCGATGCGCTGGACCGCGGCGATGTCATTCTCGCAGTCCTCCAACCCGAGGGAGGTGAACACGAGCGGCTGAGTGGTTTCCAGCAGGCGTCTGGAGGCGGGGGGGGGGGGGGCAGGCGCGTGTGAGCAGGTGTGGGCCAATGTCGAGGGGGAAGCGAGGGAGAGACACAAAGAGAGAGAGAGAGAGAAGCAAAGGGAGGGATGAGGAACGCGGCTCCCGGCGTGGGAGGCGGGGCGCGCATGTGACCGGCGGCAGAGGGTGGTGCACGCGTACTCGATGCTCGGGCGCCAAGTGTGGCGATTGACCTCATGGCCAACGCCGCTGTTGAAGAGGATGTACACATCGGGGATGGTGTCATTGAGGACCATGTCGTCATGGATCTCATGGTAAAGCCGGCTGTAGTAGGACAGGCACATGCGCATGCCGCCGGAGGGGGCGCGCGCCAGCCCCGGCACCGGGGCCTCGGACCGGGTCCCCAGGCGGAGGGCCGCACGCCGCTCGGCCGCCTGGTGGTGCTCCCCCCCGCGCGGGGTCAGCAGGCGCCGGAGGAAGCCGCCAAGCCCGCCGGCCGGCTGCCCGGCGGGGGCCTCGGCCTCGGCCCCGGCCACCGGGTCGTCGGACAGATCGATGTCCAGACGCGTGGCGTGGATCTGCTCCGGCAGGTGGGGCCCGACGAACATCAAGTTCCAGCTGACATCCGGGTAGAGGTACATCAGCTGGGACCAGGCCTCATTCGGCAGGGTGGCCTCGGCGCGGGCGCCGACAAAGCAAATGTTCACGGACTTGGTCTCATTGAAGGCGCCGCTGGCACGGGAGCTGAGCTCTGGAGGGGGCCCATGCCCGCCGGTCCGCGCACGAGCCGAGTTAGTCGCGGCGAGAGGGCCGCCCTCAGGCGGGCACCGGGAAAGTGGGGCACATACCGGCAAGGGCATCGTCGCCGAGGCTGGAGGAGCACTCGAACGTGCGGTTCGGCGAGAACAGATGGGCAACCGTGGCCGGGAAGGTGAGCGACCGCGACAGGACGCGCTGCGTCTGCGTCAGGTGGGCATCTGGCGATGGGGCGGGAGCGGAGGAGGGGAGGGGGGGGGGGGGGCAGAGGGCGCGAATGTCAGACAAAGGGAGCAGGCGCACGGGCCGAGCGACCGGACAGAGGGGGGGGGGGGGGGGGGGGGGGGGGGTAGGAACTGGCTTGCCCCCTGGTAAGGTCGTCCCGCACCCAGAGGGAACTCGAGAGCCGGGAGACTGTCGCGGGGGGGGGGGGGGGGGGGAAAGGGGGTCAGCCCGGGCGGGGAGGCGTCAGGGGCGGGGCACGCGTCGGGGTGGCTCCTCCTCGGGCAGGGGGCAGCACGCACTGTAGAAGCCACGCGAGGTGAGGAAGGCTTCCCAGTCATCGAAGGCACCCGGCTGGCCGACATTGGCTTGGTGGAGGCAGGCGAGGGGCGGGTGAAATTGTGTCAGGACAAGGCGGAGGGGGCATCGGGGGGGGGGGGGACCTCGAAAGAAAGATGGGAGGCCAGGCATGCGGTCAGCGGCCGAACGGATGGCCGGCTTTCAGCGCACTGGGGAAGGTAAACTCCCGGTTCAGCTTGCCGGCGGCCAGGTCGCTGGAGTCCAGGATGAAACTGCGCAGGATGTCCAGCGTGTCGGCCACCTGCTCACCGAGGGCCTCCTGTGTTGGCGGGCACGTGGCGCGCAGGACACACCGGCACCGAGCCAAGGGGAGATGGCGAGGGGCAATGCAAGGGGAGGAGGACGGTGAGAAGGGGGCACACACACACACACACACACACACGCGCGCGCGCGCGCGCAAAGGCCAACAGCAGGCAGGAGCCAGCGTACTCGATCGACATGCGGGCAGGGAAGATGGCTGTCACCATGCAGACAGGTCCCACAGCCGCCATTTTCCAGGTACGCCTGGGTGAAGCCCTTCAGCTTGTTGTTCATCTGGGCGGCGTTGCGAGGGGGCGCGGCGGGGGGCTCGGTCGGGCCGCTGTTGGCGGTGGCGCCGGACGAGGGGATGCCCCCGCCGAGGGCCGGGGCCGAGGCCGAGGAGGAGGAGGAGGAGGAGGAGGAGGCAGCGGGCGGGGTGTGGGTGGAAAAGAGCCCCCGGCTGACCAGTGGCCGGGCCGAAAAGCGCAGGCTAGCCGGCAGGGTTCGCGGAGTGCCAACAGACAGATGTGACCGATGGCCGAGCAGAAGCCCGGCCTGGCGCACGAAGCGAGCCATATTGCACTTTCTGCCTGCCAAGAGGAGGCCGATGTCCGGTGGGGGAAAGGCGGGGCGAGGGGCTCAGGCGTGGCAGCAGCAGCAGCGGCGGCGGCGGCGGCGGCGGCGGCGGCGGGGACTACCTTGACCGGCGACGAGCGCTCGGAGGCTGGGCGAAGGGCGCGAAATGCCCTGCGATGCGACTGTCAGCGGGGCAAATCCGAGGGGGGCTTGTGCGTTGGCTTGCACGAAAGATCGGACGACACACGCACGGAGGCCGGTATGACGCTGGTCCGAGAGGGGGGGGGGGGGGGGGGAGGGGGAAGAGAAGGAACCGTCCACGGGCGTGGCTCGGGCGCGAGGGGGGGGGGCGGGGGAGGAGGGGGCGGGGACAGATGGGCTCCCAGGGGACACTCGGGCCCGGGCAGGGCGGTGCGCCTTGGGGACGATGGCCGAGGGAAGGCGAATGGCGCGCGCGTGCGCGCACGCCGCCGGGCCCGGCTCCCCGAGTGCGTCATGATCCGCGTGTTGGCAGCCTCAGCCCCCTTCTGCCGGGGAGGGGGGGCACGGAAGGCGCCGGCCGTGCGGCGGCCCGCGCACAGGTGGCCCGGGAGATCGCCCGGCTCCCCCGAGCGCATGCCAATGCATCCCTTGCGCCCCGGGGCGGATCTTTCGCCCATCCTGTCCGCCCACTTCCCGGCGGTCGCCCGCCCTCCGGCGTTGTCTCACGTTGTTCGCGCGAGTGTGCGCGGGGGATGTGCCCCTCGCCTGCCAGGGGAGAGGCCCCCCCCCCCCCTCCCCCCCCCCCCCCCCCCCGGCCGGCGGGCGGCCGGGAACCGGGTGTGCAGCGCGGCCCCGGGCCAGGGACCAACGGACGTGGGCGTGTGCGACCCGTTCTGCTCAGGGGCGCTCCAGCAGACGCGCCGCTTCTGGGCCGCGTGAAGTTGGCACAGCCATGACCTGGAAGCAGCACCGCAATACTGGATGTATGTCAGAACGGCCAGGCTCCTGCGGCCCGGCGTGATCAGCGCCCGGACCGCGAGGCGCCGCCTCCTACCCCACAAGTCC